TGATGCGGACAGAATTAAGCAGGCAAGTCTAAGGGTGGGGCAAATTGCTATCACGCCTTATGGGAACAATAAGGTTTACAGTATAATCGTAAAAACCCGGTACTTCGAAAAAACTGAAGACGAAAACATTTTTACGGGATTAAGCAACTTGAAGAGGGTTTTAGAACGTAACCACGTCGAATCTCTTCGAATATCTCGCGCCGGAGATTATACAGATTCCCTGCCCGCAGGCGAGCTTGTCGACAAGATTCACAAGATGTTTGAGAATTCGGGGGTTACAGTGACCATTTGTTACGGAAAAATACAAATGCCGAGGCCGGAGGATCGGAGTACCATCTTAAGTGAGTTCCACGAAAGCTTGATGGGCGGCCATAGGGGGGTAACAAAGACCTACCGGAAAATCCGGGAACGTTTTTATTGGCCATCTCTCCGTATTGATGTGCAAAACTTTATCAGGCGCTGCAAGAGCTGCCAGGAGCAGAAGCTCGTGCGAGTTAAAACTCGCGAATCAATGTTGATTACAGATACGCCTGTGGACGTCTTTGATAAAGTTGCGCTGGACACCGTAGGGCCTCTACCCACTACTCCGCATGGAAATAAGCGTATACTAACCATGCAGGACCAATTATCAAAATATTGTTTGACAGCCGATTCCGGATTTGAAAGCAGCCACCATTGCAGACGCAATAGCGCGACGGCTTATAAGTCAATTTGGGGCTCCACATGCAATATTGACTGACCGGAGAGCCGCATGTACGAGCAGTCTTCTAAGAGAAATTGCAAAAATATTCAAAATTGAACAGCTTACAACGTCTGGGTATAGACCTCAAACAAACGGTGCCCTAGAGCGAAGCCACATCATGTTAACGGAGTATATCAAACATTATATTGGGAAATATGATGATTGGGACAGATTATTGCCATACGCTGAACTATCTTATAACACCTGTGTGCACGAGGCGACGAATTTTACCCCGTACGAGGTAGTATACGAGAGACTACCGAGACTGCAAAGTCAGTTTCCCACGGAGAGCAAACTCTCCACCTATAATTCCTTTACATCGGAATTAATAAAGCGTCTATCGGAAATTCGTGAAATTACGGGGGAAAACATCAACAAGGCGAAAGAAAACTCCAAACGATACTACGACGAAAAAGCCCGGCCATTTACCGGCCGCGTAGGCGACGAGGTCTGGGTGAAAAAGGAGGTCCGGAAGGGTAAATTTGATGGTCAATATCATGGACCATATACTATAATAGATATAACCGATAGGAATAATGTAATATTAAAAATGCCAAATGGTCACCTAATTCGTAAACATGTAGATGCCGTAAAATTGTCGTATGAGTAAATGCATTGGAATGTAAGAATGAACACTAGGAATTGATAAGCAATTTCCCAATATTCCCACGCGCAACACACGCTGGCCGACGAATAAGAGGATCTAGTGACACCGAAAACACCCGAAACCATGGGGACTGCAGCTGGAGGACTTTCTCACGTCTTCCCAGGAGGAGAATCTGCAACTCGGTAATGTTGACCGAAATACGAGGTCCAGTACGTGATGATAACAAGGGAAGTCTATCCTAGTATCTACAGAACGTGGGAAAGCAGAGGTTGCAAAAAGGAGTGAGCAGAGAGCTCGACTCCCTACTCTAAGGGATTTAGTCGTCAGTAGGCAGACAACTTACACGGAACTCGTTAGCCACTCCGTCTCCTAATACTTAGACATTTTAATGGTCCACTACATTCAAGTAACCATCGAAGACAGTAGAGATTCAGAATCAGTACTGGTCAGTGAAATGCAACACGAATTAGAATCACCTCAGTTGTTACACGGATCCGCAATATTCGAAGTGAACTTAGGGTACGATCTGAATTTCGTTAGAAGTTGTGCTGTCGATCCGGGAGTAGCACTTTTTGACGTGGGTGCCGTGCGAATAGAAACAGCGGCGGGGTCGGTACGGTCACTTGCGAGAATATTAATATATTCCCCTGACGAGCAGCATACTCCGTATTTGTTTCACGTTGTAGCTGATTTTCCCGGGAACTCCGCGGGTGTCATTGGATTACTATCGACATTTACTCCCACATAATCGGAACGCACTCGCACGTCGCGCTTCGGTACATTTCCTTAGCGATTCTAGAAAGACTCCAGCACATTGACAGCTTAGTGCGATATCCCGCACAAGCCATATCCTAACGGGAAATTCTGAGCGTCCACTCGCTCGAATTTGGCCTTCCTACCTTCACAATATATCTCCTTTGGAGTAATGTTCTGAGCGATTACCCGCTCGAACATTACTACTCTCCCAATATATTTTCTTTAGAGTGATGTTCTGAGCGATTACCCGCTCGAACATTACTACTCTCACAACACTGAGATTCTGAGCGATAACCCGCTCGAACTCGGTATAACATCCCCCCGACCATTACGGGCTCGGAGCGAAACCCGCTCGAGTGTTGTATGATCGAATCCTAGACACCACCAGTTATCCCTGCATATACCCCAAACCGACAGCGAGTGCACCGGTAGAAAGGGGGGGGGGGCTGTGTCGATATCCAATGAAAAAAAGTGACACGGGTTAATATTATTATTACCGCCAATCGAGGGCTATTAAAATCAAGCCGACCTCTGCTGCTCGTCTCGGGAATTATTACGAAATCTCATGGTACGCCGCGCGGGAGTGAAAAATCGGGAATTACGGGCGGAAGCTGTAGCCAGTGGTAAAGTGAAGCATTGTGATCATCATATCGAAGGACCCGTGGAACCAAGGGACCCATTAATTCGGGAAAACCGGGCGGAAGCTGTAGCCAGTGGTAAAGTGCAGTATTATGATCATCATATCGAAGGACCCGTGGAACCAAGGGACCCATTAATTCAATCTAAGGGGATCGAACAAGGAAACGCGATCAGTGGCTCCACAGAAAGCTCCTATATAGCAACACGCTACAAGAAAAGACCTGTTGCAATAGTGAAGCCAATAGTGGCTGACCGACTGTACGTGCATCCGGGACCTTCAACATCCGTTGAACCAGCCACCATCGACCAAGAAATCGCGGTTGTAACTCTGGAATAAGATTCGGAAATATCCGGCACGAATACTAGAAACGTGATGGAAACCTGGATAATAGCGCTTTTGATACTTGTGACTCCGGGGGAGGGGAGTTTGAACGACCAGAATTCGCATCAGAACATTGCGATAAAAGATCTTCCCGGATTATATTATGAAAGGGTGACTCCGCTACGACTACAACATGTAGATTGGAGTGTAAGTGTCTTTATAGAAGTGGAAAAATTCAGAAATGACTTTCCGGAAATAGGTAAGCAATTGGACAATGCACTGGACGCCTGTCAGCAGGTAAACTCGCTAGACTCTTGCCGCGAACTCCTGCAACATGACCTCCTCAGGGATCAATTAAGGATTGCCAAGACAACAGTGAGGGAGTTGGGTCATGCGGCGGTCGCACATGAACTTCCACCTACCATAGACCGCGAGCCCTTACGTACCATGAAGAAGCGTTCAGTACCTCTTGGAATAGTTGGATCGATCAGTAAATCATTATTCGGGACAATGAATCAAGAAGATGCAGAATATATTCACTCCCAGATAGACCGCCTGTTTGCGGATCAAACAAATTTAACACAACTGATAGGGAGACAGATGCACATCACCGCATCACGGCTGCAACAACTCCATGAGGATCACGTAAGCGAGTCCCGAAGAGTGGATAAATTGTACGACGGAATAGATGGGCTTTGGAAACAGCTACAAACCTTGGACAAGGAGAATGCGAAGATCAAATTCAATGCGGAGCTAACGAGATTCGCGTATCGTGCTCAATTAAAACTGGAACAGTACGTAAAGATTGGAGAGGAATACCTCCGAGTGATCTCTACGGCGCGAGATGGCCGATACGATCCAGCCATTCTACATACAGATCAATTAACAGCGATCTCCCGGGAAATTCAACTTCAAGCTCCAGAGTTTGAGTTTCCATTGGCCGTAGAGTCTTTAAGAGTCGAAATCTTAGCACGTATAGTACGCACTGACCTAGTGTTCTGTCGAGGCCGCCTCATTATCGTACTACATATCCCGTTACTCGACAGAACACGTTAGCAGTTATATCACATGCACCCATGACCCGTGCCTCAGGCAGGAGGTCAAATAGGGTCGGCTTACATAACTCCGGCCGCTCCATACATTGCCATTTCAGAAGACCGAAGAACCTACTTTTTGGCCGATGCACTATACATTGCGGTATGTGTGCGAGTAATTTCCAATTATATTTGTACCATAGAAGCACCCGTCTATGAAGTATATGTCACTGGATGATGCGAAATAGAAATGCTGACTCGTCCATCGATATATGTGTGCGAGTAATTTCCAATTATATTTGTACCATAGAAGCACCCGTCTATGAAGTATATGTCACTGGATGATGCGAAATAGAAATGCTGACTCGTCCATCGATATCAGCTTATCAGCAGTGCAACGTCCGTGTCACTCCATGGCATGGTCCATTCTGGAAACACCTGCCTGCTCAAGGGGGTTGGTTGTGCTCACTTGCTCTACCAGAAACGGTACACATACTCTGCCCGGGACTAGTTACTCAGTGCGAATTGCGTAGGACGGACGCGTAGCGCAACGCTGACTGGAATTAGAGCTTATGAAAGCCAGCAACAATATCTCTACTCTCCAGAAGCCACCCTAAATCTGACCGTGATAGCACCAATACTAAAGGATCTTCCGGACAAGAGGATATTGCCGTCAGCACTAGACGAATCCAATGAGAAATCGCACTCATGGAAGGATCAGCAAGTTGGCGAATCGCTATTCGATATCGAACAGAAGATCATGGAGATTGGGACGTACAGAAGGAACAAGCATCAGCAGCAACATTGGACCATCGCTGGCTTCTCTCTCCAGGGGCTCTTCGTGCTGGTTCTCTGCGGTTACTTTTATAAAAAGTTTATCTGGAAACGAAACTTTTGTGGATGGTTAACTCCCCAAAAGAACGACGTTGAAGCAGGGGAAACAATGCCTTTACCCCGTAGACGCACAGACCACCTGTATCGTATCCGCAACAGTGGTGGAAGAGCCACCACGAAAGACGCTAGCGAACCCGAGGCCCGGGTCCCACCAACAACCGTTGCCACCGGGATTCTCCCGCGCCAAGAGTCTCAGGTTGATTAATACTACACTATATCTCTAGACGTAACGCTATGCATAGGAATATTGGTCACAACGGGAAAGGCACGACAAAATCCAAGAAACAAAAATCGAGTATTTTAGTTGAAAACGAGTGCGAATTTTTATTAAATCTGATGCACTATTCCATGGAAAACAGACGGTCGAGCCCTAGGAGGTCCTCATCGGCGTTACTCCATAGGATTGTGCTACGAGTCCTCAGCCACTGGCGATGCTGCTGTATGGCTGTCCTTTCATTGATTGTTGCCCGCCAAGGGCGACCCCTCCGCCTTGACGGAATCAGGATTGCCCTAATGTCCTAAGGCCAAAGGGAATAATGATAAAACGATTCCTCAGGAAGGGAGTAGGTAGCAAACGACGAATAATAATAGCGGGAACTTACCAGCAACACCTGCAGCTCCACTGGAAGTGGACCTTCACAAACGAAGACACCATATATCCCGTGCTTTGCTACCTTGACGTGCTCCATTGCTCGGACGTGTTGTAAGATTGAGGAATCAGGGACGTGAGGCTCCTCAGGAAAAGTCCCCGGGGACCAAAGGAGATTAAGTGGTACAAAGAAGGGGCACAGACGACAAAGGATACCTTTAGCAGAAATTGCAGCGGTGGCAGTCGCAGAAAAAAAATACTGCCAATGCGATAGTCTTACTAGAATTATAATCCAGGCCCTGTCAGCGTAATCGTAAGCTTAAGCAGTAGCGTAAGACCTTCACTTACCGTAAGAAAATTTTTATTGTATACACTTGTCAAAATCTTCACCATGCATGGCCCTTGAGCATCGAGGCGTCGTCGGATTACTTGCCAAAGGCGATTGAATCGACGAGGGCGTCAATACTTAAGGGCGGGATGCTGTCACGTGCCGTGCCTTTTTGAACTTGGATCTCGCACACACATATATGCAACAGAGAAACCACGCGATCTCGGAGATGCCGACTGCAGCAATATGTGAGGAAGCTAGCTTCCGGTCTTATCGCACCAAGAACGTGCCGAAACGTATGAACTAAAAATTCCAAGATTCACGCGAGCGGGCAAAACCGCTAAATTAGTAAGAGTTGCCCCTACCTGTCCACCTACTTTCAGCAGAAAGTAGGATGGAGCAGGGAAGGCAAATTAGTCTCCAGATACATACGAGAGCGCATAGTTCGGGCTGGAATAGCTCCTCACAAATTGCATCACGCGGCGGCTATCATTCTCACGGGAGTTCCGCGTACTGTTACCTATCGCCGTATGTAAGTCGATTAAGACGTATCGAGCCCTACGAGTTGCACGCGTAGCGTATCAGTCAATGTGAGTTTAGATAATAGTATTCTGATTTTTGCCACGAACAATATTGTCGTGTAGCTTAAGTGATCACCAAAGTGAAGGATCTCGAGTCGTGTGAAGAAGAATTGCCAACACCAAGGCAGCGTGGGCGTCTAACGTTGCACGTCGAATGAACGTATGAGAGTGAGTGAGTGTGGACAAGGTATTACGAGATCATTGTAACCTAGCTGTAAGACCATCTGGCACTTTCATTATTTCCTATTTTAATAACTAGCACTTAAGCAAAATTGGGTTGTAACAGTATATTCGAATCATTTCATTGGGATCACTGCATCTTTGATTTAAATAGACCATACACCAATTCCTCCACCTAACGGCAATCCAAAGGACCGGGCCTGTATAGGACGGCAGTCAAGAACTTACCCAGAACAAAAATAAATATAAACTTCCACGCGTAGCGTGGGAGATTAACTTTGTTAGACGTGTGATAACGCCCTGCACGTCACACGACTACAAATAACTTGAAAAAAAAAAAATTCTAATTTTTTTATATGCTACTACAAACGGAAACTCTTTCACTACAATCAACTACAAACGATTCTCTGCAGGAATCAGTGATTAGATTTTATTTTTTTCAAAGTCGGTGGATGGGGTTTTTTTATGATGCTATAACTTTTTTTTGGGTCTACTACAAACGAAAAAATTGGTACTACAAACAACTACATACCTAAATCTATAGGTCTATAAAAAAAAATTTGATTTTCCAAAGTCGGGTGCTAAGTTCACATAGCTGTTGGGATAACTTGAATCGGTAGGATAGGGGCGACGAATAAAATAAAAAAATTTTTACAAAGAAATTTGATTTTCCAAAGTCGGGTGCCAAGTTCACATAGCTTAGGCATTCGATCATAATAACTATTATTTCAATTCTTAGACTCCTCGTCGATGTCCATTCCTTTATCTGGGTACAAGCGTACGCTGCCATCATATTTTCATGGACTCTTCTTTTCCTGAACACTCCTTCCTCAAGAAATGGGTATTCCATCGGCACACTCATAACATGCTTTAGTCTTGCAATAATAACATTAATCGTAAAATTAAATTAGAGAAGCATGAAAAGTATTTAGTACTGACACAGTATGGGGTCTAAGAAAGAAAAGCAGATATACATTGTAACGCACTTCCTGGCCTACGTCTTATCTATGACCCCAACGTGGCATTCCGCGGATCCCTTGGGCGCCAGGTGCATCCTTGCACCAGCCCGACTCTTCGGACCTTTAATTTCTAACCCACGGCACGTCAACTCCGGGAGTCCTCTCGACCGGTTCTTCCTGCTAGCTCCTAATCAGACATGGTAGAGGGGATCGTGAGGGCGGCGAGTATTTACAGGAATCAGCCGGCATCTTTGGCAATAACTAACACGGTGGGATTTAATTCCAACAATGGCCCTTTATTTTCCCTAGGTAAACGAGTACAGTCGGGTGATGTATACGAGCGTGGCTCTATACAATTCTAACACATAACGCAGTCGCGGAGGTCGTCTCTGTTGACGGTGGACGGTTCGAATCTGCAACCGCCAGGACACGTGGCGAGGCCCATGGCCCCCACTCCTCGTGCCAGGATGCACCGGCGGATGTGCTTCATCCCCGGCCGGGGCGCTGCACGGCTCCGGGGCGGACGTCTAAACTGCACTTATCGGTTCTTCCGGTGCACCGAACCTTTTTTCCTCGTCGCTCGGGTGGTGGTGGTTGGCTATTTTTCCTCCGGCTTCTCTTTCCCTCAATTCTACTTGGTCCACACCACAGTCTGTTCCGAACCGCCGGCCGGGAAAGTCATGTTACCCAAAAAGTCCTACAAACCTCACACACTCTCACCATTAGGGATGAGCGATGTTTTCCGACTAATTAAACATCGATGTTTTTTTTCCAAACATCCAAACATGCGTACACGTCACTGGTAGTTGCATGCTGTGGTTGCATGTACACTGGTTTTCATAAATTCTGTGAAGTGGCAGCACCGTACGGTGAGGCGGTAGAGGAGAGTGGGCGGAACTTCTCGGCGGACAGTGCTCCACACCGCACGGTGTTGCCACTTCACAGAATTTATGAAAACCAGTGTACACCCGGCTCAAACGATTCTGACGCATAAAAAACGTGGCTTGAGGAGAAGGCTTCCCCTACTCAACATGCTCTTCAGTCCTACGTTATACATATACTGCGCGTCGTAGATGCACATAAAATCAGCTTAGAATAACTTAGGACTGAAAAGTGTGCTGAGTAGGGGAAGCCTTCTCCTCAAGCCACGTTTTTTATGCGTCAGAATCGTTTGAGCCGGGTGTACATATGCTGTAAGCTTGTCGTAGTTCGCACAGCGGCCTACGAAGGAGAAAAACCAACTAGCACGTCCATTAAACACGTTTTGCACGTTGGTAGCTTCGACTTCGCAAGACCATGGTAGTGGTACCATTGTTTTTTCTTCGAAACTTTTAAAACCAATCAGCGTGCGGAATAGATTTTCGAATAAAAACCGTTGTGTTTTGCTCCAATGCTTATTTTTGTAGCACTCGTTCACTCTTGAATGGAGTTTAATCAAATATCCAACTCAAATCGTCGTAGTTTGTGCAAACAATTACCTTTCGTAACATGTTTGATGACGAACAATATGATTGAGAGAACAGGTAAGAGAAGATATGTTCATGTACATTTAGTTTATATAGTGCATCTATCGATCGACTTACAATTATTTCTAGTGCACCCATAACCTCTCTTTTCTGGCGTCCAAAATTTCCTTGTATACCTTTTCATTATTCGTCTCAATCTTCATTTTATTTTCATTTTATAGATGACGAAAAAGAAAGAAAATCAGCATTTTTTTCAAATCAATCGCCAAGAAGTCTACGATATAAAGAATCTCTCGTGACAAGAATACGTACACCTGAAACGTAAGTAATATCGCACTAGAAGATAACACGAATACTGTTTTATAATTAGATGATCTTATACGAATTTTTCTTTCAGTTCACGATGATGTTGCATATGAACGGAAGTAGTTATATACCACTTCTGGCCGTTACAACAAACCCCCACCACTGTCCCCTGTGAGTCATGGAGCGCGCAGCGCTCTGGCTCTCCACGTCGCGCTATGACGTCACCCACCACGTCGATGTGACTAGCTCTCCCCACCCCTCAGCCATGAGGCCCCACCATGCGGTCCTAAGGCCTGAAAATTCCCAGCTGCATGGTCCCAGGGAGGGCGTACCACGGTCGGTAATTATGCACTGATCCCCTGCCGGTAACTTTTTAATTACCCTAAGGAGGTAGCGTGGTAAAGTAGAATACGGTTCTTTTTTGTAAGAAATACCTTATATTATACAAGTATCGTACGCATTGGCGATACTTTTTTGATACCTTTAGCTATCGATGGGTGGCCATCCAACCCCCTAATATTTTACTCGGGATGAACCCTCCACATACAACGCAGCTGCTTCTGGAATGCTGGTGCCCCTCTTTTGCTCAATCTAGCGAACGATGCGCAAATACGGTTGGCGTGGGGGGTACCACTGTCTTGACCAACCCTATGAATTCCAGGCCTGCGTAACCCCTTCTACATGTATCTCTTATTTGCACCTATGCAAAAATTTATGGTCATGGTGGGGAAAAAGATGGTGACCCGTAAACCATCTTCGCAGCATCTTGTCAGTACTGTGAGGGCAGGAAAAGGCG